AATTTAACCACTCATAACGAATTAGCTTGGAGCACAAAAGTTCGAATAGAATCAATAGCAAAATGAAAAGCAACTTCCGTAATTTATTTTGACGTTTATTGTTGTCATGGAAATACATTCGCGTGGGTAATTATGCTTAATTTTTCTTTTGATTCATTGAATAGTTCTCCGAATACCATTCGTAGTCGAAGTATTTGTAGATTATTTTTGAGCTGCTGCTCCACTCATGCTAGTTACGCTTTTTAATACCACTCGCACAAGCGCTCGTGGTATTAATCAGCGTAACTAGCATTCGTGACAGCACCTCAAAAATATTCGACAATACTTCGACTACTTATGGTATAGGGTTTTCGCTATAAAAAGCGTTGCACGTCATTGATTTGATGACATCAACAATACACGGCATTGCCAAATATTTCTAAGGTATGCTGATATATTAGGTAATCTTTTATTAAGGAAACACTTTTAGGTTATGTTTCTACCATCCAGATTCCAGAGGAACTAGAAAATTCAGAGATCATTTTTTGGGCTCCCTGTGTGAAACCAACCTACTGTGCATCAATAAAACCCATTCCTACTGTGCTGTGACGGGTTCAAGGAAAGTGCAGTACACTAAGTGTAGTACTATTAGCATTTTGTTTATAACGTATCGCTGCCGTTGTGAGCAGAAAGATGAGGAATGTCGGCATTGCGGCATTATGTAAATGTTTCGGAAGTTATAAACCATTGCATAGGCCATCAGCAAATAAATATCAAGTTAATGCTTGCTTGAAATCTTGACTGATTTTACGTTATTTGACCAACTCTTGCTGTAGTGGAATTTGAGACTAGTAAGTTCAACGAGACAAAAACACAAGAAATTTTATTGAACTAAGTACATAAAATGATAATTAACATAAACTGATATGATCGTAAAAAGGTGAAAGATACTTTTCAGACTACGTAACATTCCATTTTGTTAACATAAAACAAAATAAATTTTAATACACAGTTCTCGTGACTTAGGTAATTGCAGTTTTAATTATTGTCCAGTTAATCGTCATCACTCAACTATCATTTTCACCCAGTTTATAATAATTGGGGCCATTTCTGCAATATCCAATTGTTTTTCGCGTTCATACCATTCCTTTATTAACTTTTCGGTGTGATTAATTGAATTTTTCCACATTTCTGAGGTTACAATCGCAAGTGCAAGTTTATTGTGTAACGAATCTTGAAAATCTGCTTTTCTCCACGAGTTGTTCGGTTTTTGTGTCAATAAGGTGCTGTGGTAAGAAGCATTGTCCAATACGATAACACTTGGTTCTTCTAAATTTACTAATAATTGTTTTTCAAACTAATGTAAAAAGTTTTCACGATTCATTTCTCCGTGGTAATCGCCAGTACTTTTAGATGCAAATACAAGATCTGCGATATAAAAGCTTGGGAAATTCTGCTGACCGTAGAAATGTTTAAATGTAATGCTGCCGCAACGCGCTGAAGGTAATCACAATTAGTAGAAGTAGTCAGAAGTAATTGAAACCATTCTTACCTCTCGAACACCTAATGGTAATAAGTAGTGAGCGGAAGTTGTGGCACTAAAAATCACAAAAATTGCGCCATAAATGGCAACCAAAATAAGGAAAAATTGCTCTAAATAAACTAAAAATTGCAAGTTATTAATCTTTATTAATTATTTTTATTTATTACTTATTATTAGTATTGCCTTATTACTAAATATATCGCTAACGATTTACGCGTTGTAATTGCACACTATATACATTTCTAAGTTTTCTTCGGTGAAATTACACCTTCGCGAATCTAAAATGTGCTTGTATATGGAAAATGAACGTTCGACATCTACACTAGTAATGGGTGCATATTTAAATTTTGGAATCATCTCCACTTTAATGTCTTCATTACCTTCCCCATCACCAGTTAAAATTGTTGAATACTGTTCAAGCGTTTTAAATCCAACATTTTTTTCTAAAACATTGTCTAATTTAGATTTCAGCCGTTTTCCTTTCTCGCCAGGAATACGTATTATTTTGGATTTTACGTCTTGCACGATAGATATGCTGTCATATAGTGACATTCCTTGATTTTCTAATTGCTTCAAACACTCAGGGAGAAAGCACAAGTGTGTTTTAATAAATATTAATTCATTCTGTACGCTTCGTTCTTCTATTAAGAGTTTTAATTTTTTTACGGATTCTGCGTCATCCTCTAACCTCCTAACAACTGCAGCAAATTTTTCATAGTTGTTGGCGTAAAATATCGCTGCTTCCAACCAAGTACCCCAACGAGTAATTATTGGCTCCGGAGGAAGAGGCGAATCTGGCATAATTTCTTGGTATATTGCCACACGTGAAGGTGCTTTAAGGAACGCTTTCTTTCCTAAAAGATCCCACGGTCAAACAAGCACTAAAACTTAAATATAGTAATACCATTGTTAACCAATTTGTTAACTCCAGGGCACAGTTCTCTGGCAACCTCTGCAACCCTATTTATTCCATGTGCTAGACATGTAACATGTAATAAATTTGGATAAAAAACCTTCAGTTTTTGCAGCTTTAACCATATAAGGCGCTGCATCGGTAAGTAAAAGTAAAACGCGCCCATTAATGGTAGACGAGAAAGCAGTAAGAGATTTGTTTATAAACTGACATATTGTTTCAAAATTAGTTGTTGGCAGACGTTTACAAGCAATGAGAAATGGTTTCTGGGGTTCATCAGTGTCTAACACGCCAACCAGCAAATTTGCAATGTAGAAACCTATAAAATGAAATTTCAGAAAAAAAAGATATTGTGAAAATTCTACTAGCCTCTGGAATCTGTTGTTTCGTCTACAATTAAGTACACACAGCTATTCCCAACGGAAGTTTTAATATTTTCCATTTTCTTCCGGAATACTGTTGGAAGGTATGTTTTCCTTAAAGTACTTTCATCTGGAACGTGACGACTTGTGTACTTTTCCAGAAATTGTTTGAAAGGTTCCGCATTTACTTTGTAAAAAGGTATATTGGACCCCAAAAGTGCACCACATAAATCCTCGTAAAATTCATTTTTTTTATCACTGGAAGTCAAGGCAGGTATGGTCAGCAAATATTGTTTGCTTTTCACATTTTTACTCAATGCGCGTATGTGGCTTTCTATAAAATGTCACTAGATCAGCAACGAACGAGAAATAAATACAGTTTAAAACTTACCAGTTTTAACATGGGCGTCTATAAAATATTTTTTTCCTGTCCCTACGGATTTAGAGCAGACATTGCAAAATATAATTTTGCCATCTGAAGTAAATACTTCCGCGTTTTTATTATAAGGACCAATCCACTCTTGCAATTTTTGGGAAATTGATGAAGCAACTTTCGGCATTTTAACAGAAATATAGGATTAACAATACCACCTACACTTTTTATAAGGTATTACTCGCACTGGCAGTCTATATAAAATGCAATTATTGTAATATATGTTCCCTGCTTAGGTTTCAAGTTACTGAGATTATTTTTGTGCTATCTCGTACGTGTTTTACGTTCAGCCGACGCAATTCATAACCAGCTAAACATATTTAAGTGAGGATCATTATTCATTCATTAATATCATCTGACTAACGTTGAATTCGCGAAAAATTGCACTAAATTAAGGAGTATTGCATAAAAATTGCAATAACATGGAAAATTGCAAAATAAAATTTGGTTAATGCCTTCTTTTTATTGAGTCTGGTGAAAGTCTGTTATTAGAAAATCTTTACAAGGAACCAGACACAAATTGCAAATGCCACAACTTCCTCTCTCTATATATGACTATTTTATTTCACACGACAGCAGAATTTCGGTGATATTTTCACTAACTCCAATTCACTGTATTACTGTAGCACGAAAGTGAGTGGATATGCAATAAATTACGTTTAAAAAAATTCCCATTTTATAGTGCAAAAGTTATGTACGAAGGCTCTGAAAGGACAAGCGTGAAGTAAATTATATCTGAAATTTCCAGATACCAATTGGAAATTTCCAGATGCTTAATGGAAATTTCCAATTGACCAACTGGAAATTTCCATATAGCAAATGGAAATTTCCAGATTTCTAAATGGAAGTTTCCGGAAAATCTTTGCCCAGAGAACGCTCCGTATCACTTTAGTTACTTCAGAGCGTTGGTACCAAGTAGTTAGTTCGAGTGAGAGGTGCAATTTGATTATTAATAAAAATGATATTATGAATGCCAAAAGTGACAGAGGACTAGACCTTCTAATCACATACTACTTTCGTCTTGGTCTTCAGCAAAACGAAATAGTACTTTTCCTTCGGAGACATCACCAGATATCAATCAGTACTCAATCCTTGCGAAGATACTTACGGAGACTAGAATTGTATCGAAGGTCTCGCTACTCGGATTTACAAGAGGTTTATTCTTTTATCGAAAATGAAATTCAAACATCATCGTCGGAATTACACAGATACAGATGGATGCATTTAAAGTGCATTCAGGCTGGGTTTTGAGTAAAACGAGAAACAGTGCGTTTGATATTAAAACTAATAGATCCTGTTGATGTATCAAAGTTAGTTAGTTCTAAAGAACTCGAAAAAGGCTACGTCGCAGGCAGTACTCAAATTCTGGACCAAACTATCTATGGCATGTTGATTCATATGATAAATTAAAGCCTTTCGGAATTTGTATAAATGGATGCATAGATGGCTTCTCACGAAAAATTGTTTGGTTGAAAGCCTCTTCGACCAACAATAACCAAAAGTCATCGCAAATTATTTTATTGGGGCTGTTGAAGAATTGGGAGGGTGCCCTAAAACTGTGCGAACTGACATGGGTACTGAAAATCGTTACATAGAGGCCATGCAAATATTCCTTCGCCAAGAGAACGAACATGCTCGCTCAAATATGCCACCATTCATATATGGTACCAGCCAGTCAAATCAGAGAATTGAATGTTGGTGGTCCATGCTTAGGAAACCTAACTCGCAGTATTGGATGAACCTTTTCCAAAAACTAAAAGAAGATGCACTTTATTCTGGCAGTTTCTTGGATAAATCACTCATCCAATACTGTTTTATGGATATTATTCAGGTCAGTATTGTTTAATAAAAATATTTTTTTATAAAATCTACAACAATATTTCAGAGAGAACTTGATTTAGTAGTTCAAGAATGGGGCGCGCATCGTATAACCAAATCAAAGAACAGTATATCTCCAAGCGGGCGACCAATTGTTATGTATAACTTACCAGAATTATATGGAAGTGAAGATAATCTGGTGAGAGTATTTTCTGCTTCGATTTTGTCTTGTAAAGAAGAGTGCTTAAGTTTGAAAAGTTCTTGTGATGAGGACGTTAACGATTTGTGCAACATAATTTTGAGCGAATTAGATATGAGTAAACCTCATGATCCATATGACGCCGTAAATCTTTATGTTAAGTTGCGAACAGAAATATTGGACTTACTATAAGATCAAAATCTTAGAAACACTGAAAGCTCGCCTGAGTGAAATATGGATCATTATTTTCAAGCATTTTTTCACAATACTGTATTGTAAATTAGATTATTATTATTTGACTTATCCTAAATATAATGCAAACGTTAATCAAGGAAAGAGGAGAAAACCCAAATAAAGAATAATTGAAAATAAAACGAACTCTATTTTAATCGCTTATCGCTTAGGCATAACTTAAAACAGGAAAATAAAAATTTCATAAACACAAATAATTGCAGTCGTTGTTTACACAAAATCCATTACCCACATGTTGGAATTCAAAAGATTATTTAGTTCAAAACGGAACTCCGGAAAGTTATCATATTCAAGAGGTAGTTCTAACACACATGCGCAAGTATGTGCCACTGGCACTCTCATAAGACCACTCCTCCTAACAAAAGTCACTTCTATCTGATTACTTGTAAAAACATCCGCTCCAGTGCAAAACCTCAAAAAGTGTCTTAGAGTCTTAATGTCAGACTCTCTCAGAAATTTCTTCAAGAAGCTGAAAATCCTATCTTCTTCAGCAGAGAGGGGCTTATTTCCATGGTTAAGTATAGACAGAACTTTTTTCGGCGTGACTTTCCTCTCGGTGTAAATATTATGCAGTTCGCTACCGGAAACCATATTCTTTAAAACCGCATGCCAACAATCGATGACAAACTTTGGCTTTTGAATGAGTTCCTTATGCGCGAGATCATCAATTAATTGACCGATATTGTCATTATTTGGCAGTACTTTACATTCGAAAGTACTCTAAAAACACCATCGGAATCATATCCTGTTTCTTCCACTCCATTGGGCAATATCATTTGAATTTTGACGGACACGTCTTTATCTATGTTCACAAAAGCCCCTATTAGTTCTTCAAAAGCCTGCCCTCTGTGAATTAGTAACGTGATGGAAGGTGCTTCTGATTGCTGAGAGGGTTCAGCATGACTAACATTTACTGCATTTACATCAAAGGCCTGTAGAGGATCAAACTCATCTTCGAAAATAATCACGGGCATTTCTGTGTTATCAAGAAAATTATTATTCTCGATCTCATTGAATTCAACTACTTCAATACTTGCAGAAGTTGATTCACCATTATTTCTAACTGTAGTAGCATTTTCGCTGAGCCGAATTGTGGGAACGGTTTCATTGTTTTGAACTACATTAGTAGTTTCGTTACTTTGAACGGTAGTAGCTGTTTTTTGTTTAGTTGCTAAATACACTCTCAAGCGGGCCAAACCCGTCCTGTGGAACAGTTCTTCCACTTCCACATCTTCTTCTATATTGCGCAACCTGAAATCCAGCAAGTTTGTGGAAAAACTGTCTATATTTCCTTTTGGGGATTCCCCATTTGGAAAAAATAGTTCAATGCCTGCGAAAAAAATTGACATAAGACATAACTAAACCTTTGTTCATTTTTTAGTTACCTTTTTGAATTAAATCACCTTTTACAGCTGATCTTGTCATCTGAACTTTTCGTTGACCGCCTCCTTTATTTATTGATTTATAATAATAATAATAATAATAATATTGCCTTTATTGTTCCAAAAAAAAGAAAACAAAGATTTATTGCAGTACATTAAGGGCGAAGTTCAGCACTGCGGCAATGCCACAGTCTGCTCTTCCACTTAACCCCATTACTACATGTATTACTAGAGAGAAAAAAAAAAGTATTCAACTAAACAAAAAAAAAAATAAATAAAGAAGAGGTACATACTTTAAAATCTCATTAGCTCTTAATGCGCCAACAAATCATTATTTTGCATTATTTACCCATTGATTGCTAGGCCACCTTTCATTAACGAAAGCAACTTCGGTTTGAAGCAACTTAATGACATATTTTTCAGAATATCCGGTAGCTGATTATAAACTTTTGCTATGTTGTAAGTGAACGATCAATACACATTTGACATGGGAATATTTGTCACCATTCAAACTAACCATTCAGCCAATTTCAACCTGCCTTGTTGCTTTTTTTCCGCTACCGAAGTTTAATTTTTTCGTTTTTGGTTGTTTTTCTTTATCGTCGCTGCTAAGGTAGTATTTAGAATTAACTTTCTTCCGCAGTCTTTCCAAAACTACTAATTTTTTGTTAGGTATTTCTTTTCTATTCCGTTTCCCGCAGAATTCCTTAACCCTGCAGTACTCGCGTGAAGATTTGTTACGTGAGCGGTCGCGTGGGATACATTTGTGTCCCATAATAACTAACAGGCTTAAATGAAAAGTTAATTGATATTTTGGTACAAAGTAAAGATGTGTGTGTCATATTTTTATTAAGAACCATTCAAACGAGAAATAAAATTAAGAAAGACAATTCAAAAATTTAAAGAAACCCAATTATTCGTCTTCTTTTTCTTCGCATTTTAAGCACACTATAGGCGAATCATTTTGATGATCTTTGCAAATCCAATTATTGCAAATGGAGCAGTAGTCTCTGGTCCTTTTGTCTCTTTTGCGAGGACATATGTAGCACCGACCATTTCCTGTTCGGGCCTTCTTTGACGGTGATGCAATGTTGTTTGCAGAAGTAGATGATTCTTCCAAACGTTCGGTTACAAGCAAACAGCATCGTTCCCTCAACTGTGTTGAAATATTGGGAATGCCAGATCGTTTCCTAATTTGCGGTTTCATAAGATCCAAAGCTAAGGTGCGTAAAAAATCGCGTCGTTTGTGAGTTAGGTTTGAGTTGTTCATTTGGAATAATACTAATGCATTAATTGCTGCTATATTCATATCAAAAAATATAGTAAGAGGCCATCTCCTACTATTTCTAGCAACATTGTACGAGGCACACATCTGGTCGACAACATCAACTCCAAACTTGGTGTGATTGTAATCCACTACCATCGTTGGTTTGCCAGTTTCATGGTCAATACTGTCATCTGCATGGCTTGTAGATAGAACCAGTACATTTTTTTTCTTTCTTGGAACAAACGATACAAGAGTGCACTCATTATGAAACGCGAACTGACTACTCAATGCTGGTCTCTCAGCAGTATTTATAAACTCTGCCGGTATTTCTCGTTTATTTTTCTTGACTGTCCCGAGCATAGTAAGTTTGAATTCATTTTTTAGTTGAACAGCAAGTGGAAAGCTAGAAAACCAATTGTCCATGGTTATATTACGATATGTTCCTCTAATAAAAGAAACAAGTCGCTTGACAACATCCGAAGGGCTGTTAGATAATTGAAAAGGACCGCCTGGTTGAGTTCCAGCGTATATTTCTAGATTCAAGGTATACATGTTACTTGAATCAACTAGAACGAAAACTTTTAGGCCGTATTTCGCTGGCTTTGATGGTATATACTGCCTAAAAGGGCAACGTCCCCTAAAGGCCACCAGTTGTTCATCAATTGTTAGATCGGGTCCAGGCATAATGGATTTCTGGCAGTTTTCTATAAACACCCCAAAAATGTTTCTTATTTCTGCCAACTTATCAATTTCTCTTCGTTCTTGCCGAGTATTGACATCGTCAAATCTCAAGCAGCGTAAAAGAAACCTAAATCGATTATACGACATTGTGCAATATTGGCGTCCATACCGGTACCGTCCGTTCTCCAAAAATCCGTAATATTTTGTCTACCCGATTTACTAACTCCTAGAAGGTATAACATTCCAAATAAAGCCTTTATTTCACATTCTTCAGTCGGCTTCGCATCTCGCTCACGATTGTAGTTAGACTGATTGTTTTGAATGTATAAATTTGTTGACGTAGTTACTGCTTCCACAATATTGCTACTAATAAAGATTTCAAAACATTCTAAAATGGTTTTAGCATGTGCTGCATTGCCTATAGGTCCAGGTTTTCCTTCGAAAATATTATACGCCCTAGTCCTTGTTTTTGGTGAGCAGATTTTCTTCCATTCCGTTATACAGTCCTTTCCAACGTAACGAGGAATCTGATCGTCATCAAACCACCCTATTATTTCTTCGGAATCATTCGGATCTTCTGCATCTTCCTCAGAATCGGTATCGTGGTCGCTGTTTTCACAAAAATCACCTTCATCTTCATTAGGATCCGCTAACCCTAGTATTTCCTCCTCCTCCTCTAACTCATTGTACCATTCCAACCATTGTTTAGATCTGTGCTCATTTTTAACATACTAACAGTAAAAATCCACTCATAAACTAAGCAAAGTATAAATGATAACTTACCAACAAAATGTAATCACACAATGAAATTCGGAGGTCGCACGGGATACGCGTGTATCCCAAGGAAAAATCAGAGGGAAACAACAATAATTTAGAAAAAATACACACCTAAACTTCACCAAAGCATCAAATAAACTGTGAGGAAGGATTACCTAGAAGGCAGTAGGTGACACACCCCCCCTTACGACGCAAGCGCCGTTTACTTGTAAGGCGTATCCCACGCGAGTACTGTAGGGTTAAGTGCCATCCTATCTCCGTAGGCGGGTATGAATCTCTCCAAATCCTCGATTCGCATCATTTCGATAACGCTCGGATCAATCTAAGCAGAAAGAAGAAAGCATCTTAAACAATGGAGACATAAGTCAGTGTTGCTTTCTTTCATCATTCATTATATTATTGACTAGAATAAAATATCCTTTCGTTTTTCCTTTAATGAAAATACCCTGTACATAACCGTTTTGCCTTGCCTGTATATATTCCTATTTGTTACGTGTGCGCGCATGAGCCGCAGAAGCTCAATATGTGTACTCGTCGCGCAGAATTCGTCCCATTCTTCGCCTAGAAGCCATCGACTCAACTACGTTGAGAAGTCGCCGTTAACCAATGGCCGATTAGCCTTCGTCGTTCGCATATAGATCTCGATCGATCCCCAACGGGTCAAGATGTCGCCGTGCAGTTCGCAACATCGTTCTTAACAAGCAGCACGTCAAAGCACCGCACATCAATAAGAAGACTTCGTTGTAACAAAATCGACAAATTCGACAACTTCGTAGAATAGAGCAATCTCGCCATTGCAACATCGCCTTCGTTGTTAATGGACTTCGAAACAACACGTAAGTTCCTTTGTTTACATTATCCCTTCGTAACTTTACCATATTCTAGTAGCCGTCGTGCCTACGTCAACCATATTCAATAGAAATTCATTTACTTTGTATTTTTTGATAATAAACATGTTTATTTAGGTGTCTATATTCTTTCATTCCCAGCATAAACAAGGCCTTGGAAGTAATTCATAATTACAGTCCACTTACAATCAAATTCTTTGTTATCGAAGCCCCCTTGTACGGTACAAAATGAGTTAACGGTTCCGTTAAGCTTTGATTAACTTTTGTGCATTCGGCCCTAAGTGGCCGCAGTGCACATTTCTCGTGCCCAATAATAAATAAACAACAGAGAGTACTGTCTAACATGCCCAGAGCCCGTGTCCGGACACTTAATCACGCGACACACAATCATGGGACATTTAAGCAGGGACAGTTAAACACGCCGACACTTAATCAGACGGACATTTTAACATATAGACATTTAAACACTGAGACAAATAATCAGATGGACAAATAAACACATTGCGTTTGAGGTAATAGCAATAGCGCGTTAAGTAACCTACCGAAACATAGCTTAGTGTTATCCAACACTGTAGTAAAACTAAAATATAAAAAAATATATAGAGCTTTATTGAATATTATACATATTATTTATACATGCATACATTATTAAAATACATGAGCAAGGGTTCTTAAATATTCCATTTTATTCGCTGGATCGTAGCTTGCAACTATTCGTTCGACTCTGGTGTTCAGTTCTCTGTACTTCTTCTTCTGAGGAATTCGTTGTCCACTTACGTGCTGCAAATAATATGCGTGTTGTAATGAAATTTCTTTTTGTAGTCCATTCAGAAATCGCCAAATGGTAGGATGACTACATTGAAATAACAATTGCAATCCAAAATGCCAACCTCCTATTGAGAATTGGTCGTCCTTGCCAATCCCTCTGTGATAGATGTGTGGTGATTCCAATGTTCTGGACTGAAAAGCGGATTCCGACGTCGACCGTTCCGCATTTGCCGTCCGCGAACGTAAGTGAATTCGAAGTAATTCAAAAAATCTTCCGTTCCATCTGTAACATTATTAAAAATACATGGTTATATTTTGTTATTATTAAAGAAACGTCATACATACCAAGTTCTGGAAATTCTTCTGCAACTTGTAAAAATCCATTTTCCACATCATGAAGTGGTAACATCGCTAAGGAAAACAGCATTCTAACCGCTAATGCTAAATCATTTGTATTTTGCTCATAAGCATTTTTTAATCCAAACGATGCAATTTTTTTGAAAAATACATCCCGATACGTTGCCATTCGGAAAGACTGTTCGGAAAGCGTTCATTGCGCCCATTTCGAAGTCAGTGAGAACTGTGGACGGGTCGGCGCCAGGTATTAAATTTTTAATTATGTTCAACAAACGGATGTATGTGGCTGCTGTCTTATCAGGCAAAAGGGCGAGAATGCACGGAAAAGATATATGTACCAGCTAATTGAACGTGAATGCTGTATAATTGGAAAAAGAGCTCTGGTACTACTTTAAAGGTCCCATCCGCTTGCCATGACGAATTTGCTTCCAATAAACGGAGGTAGAACGGCGTGACCAAATATTAATATTCTGTCTTCGTCCTCCCGACCGGAATCATGCAACAAATAATTGCCGTATTCTGGAGGTATTTCAAAATTTTTTGTTCGTGGATTAGCTGCTTGAACGTTTTGTTTTCTTTTAGCACGCTGAAGCGCCTTCTGCAACGTAGGTCTCTTGGGAAGTACGCATTTTACGGTGTCTGGTAAGGTTTCCACGACATTGGCGGCAACTGCTTTTGGAGTTGCACCAACATGTACCATCAACTCCTTCATTCTTGCAACAGCATTACTAGCTTCAATCTAAGAAAGAAGTAGGCATTAGGATCAATGTGTTAAATGAATTTTAACGTAATATGAAAATGCAAAACAAATTTGAAATACTTACTCGAAAAGGCTGTGTGTCGTGGTTGTGGTCACTTGGATATTTTACAATTGTGTTTTCATTTGTATGAATGACACTTTTGCATTTCGCACTTTGAAATAATTTACATCTCCAGTGAACATTACCGGAACTTGTTTCGCGTACCCGTACATACTCGTTATTACGATAAATCACTGTTGGTTTTCCTTTGGTACTTTTTCCAAATTTGAATTCCATGTTAAACACTGTAAGTGTAACGGTGACGAACAAACACAGTACTGACATCTATTAGAGATTTGTAAACCTATATATTCCAAAGGTCGTTAAAAACATCTCATTAATGTTTAATTGTCATTACTTTCTCATTAGAAGTTATTAGGTAACATTAGGTAAGTTAAGTAGGTACCTACCCTAACGATCGTATTTAGAGAGTACAGCTTACTTTCTAAGACCCGTCTTACACGAGCAATAAATATGTCCCTATTTCTGAATTTAATTGTGTTGGAAAGAATATGGTGCGTGTAATACACCGATTATAACCATAAAAAAAATTTTGTCCATAAAAATAGAACGTGTTCTATTTTTGTGTGCATAATATGCGCAAACAGCATGCGCAAACTGTGATCCTAGGATATTGTTTATCAAAGTAATTGAAAATTGAAATTCATTAAAAAGAAAATAGAGTATTTGTTTGTCTTCAGGTCTGTAGTCAATTAATCGAAGTATCTACCTAGTTGTAATTTGAATATAATTTTAAAGTATGGAATTTGACGAATACACATTGTATAGTTCAGTGGCAATTTATACAAATATGCTAGCCCTAAAGTTCAATACACGTCGCAGGCGAAGAGTTTGGTCAAAAAATGGCATGAAAGAAGGAATATGGGAATGGGGATATTACATATGTTAAATGACGAGCTACTACAAGAAGACTCTGCAGCATATAAAAACTTTTTACGGCTAACTAACCACCAATTTGAAAAACTGTTGCGATTGGTAGAACCACATATCAGTCGCCAAGATACTGTTATGAGGCAATGTGTTTCAGCGAGAAGCAGGTAAAGAAAATGCTGATTGAAAGTGGTATATATTTTAGACATGTTATTCAGGCTTGAACTTACGCTTCGCTTTCTTGCAACCGGAGAGTCTTACCGTTCGTTGATGTATTCTAGTAGGATACATGAATCAACCATTTCTCTATTCATTCCTGAAGTTTGTGAAGTCATATTTAATGTTTTAAAAGATGAGTTTTTAATGGTAAAGTTTTATTTTATCAATTCTCTATATATATATATCTCTTCTACATTACAGACTCCATCTACTCCCGAAAGTTGGCAATCAATTGCTGATCAGTTTATGGAACTATGGCAATTTCCTCAATGTGTAGGGGCGCTTGACGGACGTCATATTACATTTAGATCTCCAAAATCGGCTGGATCATTTTACCACAATTACAAAGGGGATCATTCACTAGTATTATTGGCAATGGCCGATGCGTGCTGCAAATTTACATACATTAACATTGGTGTTAATGGTAGAATAAGTGATGGTGGAGTGTTTCGTGATTGTACTCTGTCAAAAGCAATTCAAAACAATTCGTTAAATTTTCCACAATCTCGACCATTACCAGGATCCAGTAACAATGTTCCATATGTGATAGTTGCAGACGACGCATTTCCACTGTCCACAAGAATAGTAAAACCTTATCCACAACGAGGTTTATCTCACGACAAGAAGATATTTAACTATCGGTTATCAAGGGCACGACGTATCATTGAACATGCATTTGGTATTCTTCCCAACAGATTTAGAGTATTGTTAAATCCGATATGTCTGTCACCAAATAAAGTAGAAAAAATTACTTTAGCTTGTGTGGCACTACATAACTATTTATGTACAAATAGTGGACAATTTTATACTGATTTTGACGAAGCATCAATTATCACATTGGATACATGGAAACCACAGGGAACAAATCGAACTTCCAGATCAGCATTATCTGTGAGGGATGAATACAAAAATTACTTTTGATCTCCTACTGGCAGTGTAGAGTGGCAGGATGCAGCAGTTTTGAGACACAATTGTTAATCATACAATTTGAATAAGTGTATATATATGTATATAGGATCACTCAGATTTTATTTGAAATTCTTGGAAATTATATGTACAATATCGCTTTCTATTTTATCTAACAAATCGTCATTCTTGATGCGGCGTAATTTTGGTTCAATGTACTTAAGAAAGACATCAATCCTATCCGCCTTGATAGTGCTAACATCAGGCTTCTTGCGTGCAACTGCATTAGCAATTTCATTTATCGCTCTGCTGGCATCTGCTAAATAGTCGATTTCATTCCCCTTTTTTCTCTTTAGTTGAGATTGTGGTCGGCTGGTTTGTGGCGTCTGTTCAATTACATGCACATTTGAGGCGCCTCCATTGACAGGTTCCTAAAGTACATTTATTTACCGAAACATTATACTTATTGACAAATATAAGGAAATACCTCTTCAGTTTGTGAATCGTCTGGTTCGTCTTCATAAACAACCTCTAATTGTGAAATGTCCGTAAATTCCAACGATTCAATATTACTGTCTGATGAAAGAGAAGGTGAAAGAGGCTTGGGGATGCTATCATAAATGGCTGTCTTTGCAATTGAATGCTCCAAAACAAACAGCATTAAATCATAATACCAAATGGTAGGTATATACACCTTAAAACATACATTTTTAGAACTATACGATTTGTTGCAATGTAGATTTGCATTTACCTGGTCTGTACCGCTTCCACTTTTCATGGAGTTTTCGTGTTTACGATATTCCACTAAGAAATTTTGTCGAAGAGCTGCAAACTTATTTTTTACATCTGCAATCGTTACACCTGCTTTCACTGCCTCCAACTTTGAACAGATGTCTGTTAAGGCAGCATTTCTCGCATGCTTGTTTTTGTATTGTGGGGATTTAACCACATACAAGCAAGGGTGATTTTTGTACACTTCAATGAGCATGGTGACCTGCTCTCTTGACCACGACATTTATTAAAAGATTGTTATTTGCTACAATCACAAGAAATTGCTTATTGCACAAAACCGTTAATATAGTGACAGAGAATAGTGAAAACTGAATGTGATATATTATTTTTGGTTATGTAGTATGTACATTGCTGCCATTCAAAAAAATCCCTAGATTTCCAACAGCTGAATACAGAATTTCCCTATATTTTTTATCATAATTATATCCATAGTTTGACAAACGTGTAAAGGGCGGTATAGTTCTCGTAAACATAATTTTAAGAACACAAATATACTTCAAATTTTTATCACAATTGTGGCCATAATTATGACTCGTGTAAGACGGGTCTAAGAAAGAATTCGCTTCAAACATGCGTACATTAATAATTAAGCTCTATAGCATTTTTTAAAAATGTGTTTATATGGCCATGCGATCATATGTCTCAGTGTTTAAATGTCTATATGTTAAAATGTCCGTGTGATTAAGTGTCGGCGTGTTTAACTGTCCATGCTTAAATGTCCCATGATATTGTGTCGTATGATTAAGTGTCCTATATTCGACACTCGACTCCCTAGATCGAGACAAAGCGGGAGACGTCTTACGTTTAGACCCCCGCGTCTCTGCGTCCATACCCTCTACCTCTGACGCCGTAGTAGGGTCCGAGAAAAGATTAACGCTGTTCCCGGGAATTGATATGGGAACTTCTACAACAGTTGGGGGAGGTTGTACAATTAATCGGTTTGTGGTGAGTATTCTCATTAATGCCTCCATTTCTTCCTTAATTATTTTTCTAATTTCAGGACCGACAGGTTGTACGGGAACTGACGTTGTTACTGAAGCAACCTGTGCAAAAGATGTGCTGGGGTTCACTGTCCCAACTTTCTTTTTTGCTTCCGAGTACGACAGCTTTTGTATCACCTTCACCTCCTGTATTTTCATTTCCATCTTGAACACTGGACATGTTTTAGTGACCGCTTTATGCGGCCCTTTGCAGTTTGGACATTCGATGGGTTCTCCGCAGGTAGTTCCTTCGTGTACAGGTTTTCCGCATACGCATCTCTTATCATGCTTACAATTTACAGCAGAATGTCCGAATCTTTGGCAATTAAAACATCTAAGTGGATTTGGTATATACGGACGCACCTGCAAGGGGTAAAACGCCGCTTGGATTGTCCATGGTAATCTCGGGGTATTGAAGGTAAGTATATGGTTTGCAGTGTCTATAAACACTCCATCCCTCCTTGTCCTAATCCTCCTAACGTCCACTACACCTTGACTACTTAGATTATCTTTTATTTCCTCAATAGAGCAATTCAAAAGATCGCGACAGAAAACCACTCCCTTTGACGAGTTAAGCATCCCATGGGGTACTACCTCAACTTCAAAATCGCTAAATCGCGTACAGTTACAAAGTAATCTCGACTGCTTCTGTGATACAGTTTCAACCAAAAGATCTCCTTTCATCTTCTTAACGTCTTTTACTTGACCAACAATGCCATACAAAACCTTACTTATCAGGAAGGGACTTACAGATATAAAATCGCCTTCCTTCCTTTTAATGACCAAGAACCGGGGCACTTCATCCACCTTCTCATTGGCCATGTATTCTCTTCCAGGAGCATTTACATGCGTCGAGGCCTGGTCGCCTGCCAACGACGCCGAGCAGCCGCTTAATATCGACCGGGTGAAGCCTGCCCGCTCCGCCTCGCTCCCTGCCGGCTCTGGGGACAATCCGAACCCCTGGGCAGTAAAATGTGGTCGCCCCGAAGGGCTTAAAAGTTTTTCCATTTTACAAGAAAAAGGATTGCATTTTTATGCTACTGCCAGCAACTAATTCGGCCGCTCCTAACATGGAGAACAGACGCCGTTGTTTTTCATATTAGCACAGATATATTAGCGGTGTTAGCATTATAATATTACTTGTCGATAAGATTTTGATTAATAAAAAGATATTCCTATTACTAAGCAAAGGAATATTAATTACATCATACATTTTTAATTTGTTTTTCTGACTAAGTCCCATTGCCATGGATCTATTTGTACTCCAACCCCGTTAACATATTCTTTTATGGAATTCCTCACTTTTAAAGCAATTTGAGATGAATTTCTTGAACCTAATCTTCTGTGTATTGAAGTAAGTGGTTGCAACGCATTTTCGTTTGGCATTTCTGTTCTCCACCTACCAGGAATAACTGTGCCATTTATGTCTCTATCTATAGAAGTTTTATCGAAATAATGTGGATTGTTTTCAGCTCGAATATAATTATGTAAACACACACATGCTTTTACGATACTGTCGACTGTATCAGGTGCTGTAATTAATGAATTACTCGATGGAAAATTCGAAATCGTGACACAAGTATGCCAAAGGTATTTTCTATAATTCGCCTACACCTGGAAAGCCGATAGTTAAAAATTAATTCAGTCTGATCCATAGGACCATTTCGTTGTTTACTATATGGTCGCATTAAATTAGGTCGAAGTGGGAAAGCTTCATCTCCTACCAAGTAGAAAGGCACAGGTACATTAGACCCTGGCAAAGGCGAGTCATCAGGTAAATCTAGCGTACAATTGAGTAAGTCTTTCCCGAAAAGTGATGCATTCATAATACCTCCATCTGATTGACTACCATATGAACCAATGTCTACAAACGTAAAATTGTAATTAGCATCACACACTGCTAGCAACACTATGCTAAAAGATTTTTTGTAATTATAGTAAATAGAGCCACTATTAGGTGGAGCTTGAATTACAATATGCTTCCCGTCAATACAACCTGCACAATTGGGTAACTGCCACTGATTGTAAAAGTTTGATGCTATTTTTGAGAATTGTTTGCGATCAGGGCATTTCAAATATGTCGGTGACAAAACTTGCCATATAGCGTTGCATGTTTCTTTAATAATTACACATACAGTGGGAACACTTAACCGAAAGGCGTATGCCAAAGTGGGATATGAATCCCCTGTTGCTAAAAACCGCAAAGTTACGGCTAACCTACATCCTGCAGATATCGATTCTCGTCTGGAATGTTTAGTAATGATAGGCGAAATTCTTTGGAGTAATCTATCGAACGAAGTAGTTGACATTCTAGTAAAGTTGAAAAACATCGCCTCGTCCCCAGTGTACATTTCTTGAAAAAGATTTTCATAGTGGCCTTGCTGTTTTTTTTTGTAGAACAGGATGAACCCAATAACGCCGCCGTCTTCGGTGCAGAAGGGACCTCACTTTTAATAGAGCGCAAGAAACAGTACATAGCATAATTACATCAAGAAATTCTTGCTCCATTTTAAAATGTTACAAATTTATTCAAAATTGAGGTTACACATGGAATACGTGAAAGTGCGCAGTGCGCATGACTCCTGTCAATTCAACTTTCAAGTCACCGTGGAAGTTTGCAGTTTGCAAGCTTTGGCGGTGAAGTCGAACTTGAATTGTACGTAACGTCGAAGTGTAATTTTGATGTAAACTGTTGCATGGAGACTCATTTGCTTAACACGAAATTTGAAATTGGATTTGTGCGTTTAGTCAACTTTGAATTGGTTGTAAATGAGCCTTTACGAGCCTGTGCCTTCATGAAGGCCTCCATCAGAGCAGACTGTTCGCCAGTGCCGTTTTTTAAGACAATAAATTGTTCGGTTCAAGAAGTAAGTCCAGACTAGAAAATAGAAATTATCTGTGCCTACCGAATATACTTTTTTCAATAATCTTTATTTGGTTTCAAAAATTCAAAACAAAATAAAATCGAATACTACGAGTAAATAAGTAAACAGTATAAAAATTTAAAAAATTAAAAAAAGTTATATACTTACACAAATTAAATTCGAACACCTCTTCTTGCTTCAATGACATAAATTCTTTCACTACTGCTTCTAAATCTAAACTATCCAAGGTATTCCTTTCTACAGAAAGTAGTGTCAAATTGGAAGTTCTTTGTGATGTGATAGAACCTCAAGGGGTTTTTAAATCTTCGCAATACACTAAAACTTCTTTCTGCACTAGCAATTCCAATTGGTAAGGTAACAAATAATTTGAATAACATTTCCAAGTTAGGAAACACATCCCAGATTATGCTGATCTGCCAAATATTCGAGATATCCTAGTACTCCGCGATCGGCGCGATCACAGCCAGTACTAGTTTGAGCAAAATATATATCTCTGAATTGCACTAATTCGTCAAATATGGAAGGCGATAGAAATTCAAATTTTTCACTTAATTGTGACGCCTTTTCCTGCAACTCATTAAGTGCACAGTCCTTAAAACGGTGTGGATGTAAGAAGCCAAAATATTCTGTAACTTCCTGTAGTCCATGTATACGCTCTTTGAGTTCGGCTATCATACCGTCAATAGTTACAAACATCACTTGCACCTTAAATCGTATCGCTGAATCCTGAATTGGTTCATCTTGTGCTAATTCTCCAGCCATTTGCTTCCTTTTCCGTCGGTCCGGGGCCCGTCGGTGCAACGCTGCGACTGGACCTATGTTAAAAACGGCACTGCTGTTGGCGCCCCATCTCCTTCAACTGTAGGAACTCAACCTCGAGGGAACTCATCTCATACACCTGACCTTCCTCGGACGCAACTGACCGTGATGGGGATTCCATCGTATGGTACCTAGAAGCACGAACACGATAGTATGTTTGCAGAAAGTAAACACAAAATTAATCCGTTTTAAAAAATTGGGATGGTATTTCAATAATTAAAGTTATGTATCTGTCGGATACACCCGCGACCATTTTTGTTGCGCCAGCAACCGCGACTGCTCGAACGTTAATCAAAGTGGGTAAATATTCTTGATTTTTATGCAGCCATAACTTCTCATGCTGAACAACATTTCGTCGTATTATTAACAAAAAGTGCACTTTACCTTGAAAAGAGCATAGTTTTTGCTTCAATGTCAAGGCCGCTTTGATTTTTAATGACTCAAAATATTCTTAAAATTCTAGTAACACCAAGCAGGGCTTATTCCCACAATCTTAAAATAAAATTCAAAAATTTTTAGTACATCACACTTCTTGTAACATCAATCCAGGGTTACACTGTATATAACTATCTACAGGCTGCATGAAAATAGCGTCTTCAAGCCAAAAAGTATAATCATGCTCATTTAGAAAGTCAGAAATTACAATGTAATCTGTTTTGCTCTTCTAAACGATTGTTGATGTTTTCGTTTATAATTTGTACTGCAGATTTTTTAGAAAACGTTAATTTCTCTAATGGCACACAATTACCTGCATCCCCTTCACGTACTTCTGCATGAATCAATATTTTTTTGTATGGTGTAGTATATTACCTGCAAGTTGGGCTGTTATTCTATCCTCCTTGAGATCGGATGGTCCTAAAAAATAATTCTATATGGGCTTGATTTAATTTATATGATGGAATAAATTTTTAAAATTGTTTTTTTTACAATGTATTAAATCGCCATTAATAATCCTATGACACCTGTTTTTCTTGCCGAGTCTAATAACTACTAATTTTTGAACAATAACGTAACATTATTTATAGTATTAGGATTTGCAGCCTATCCAAAGTCGATCATTTAATGCGAATTTAAATCAGAAGCATTATTTATTAACAATATAAATTCGGCAGTTGGAGCAGTTTTTTAAGTCTTTTAAGCAGAATTACTTTCATTTTTTGTTTGAAGAAATTTATATGCTTTACGTAATTATATTACGTGTCCATTTAAGACAATTAATTTAATTTTATTATAAAATTAAATCGACTAGGTTTCCACTCTTATTTGTTTGGAAAAGAAGAAGAAGAAGAACATAAAGGACGCGGCTTTCCACTCATCCGCGACGTTATTTGGCACATAGCATACAAGTTTGCCAATCAACTTCAACAATCAAACATAAGTTGAATAATGAAAACGAACATGCTGAATATGTTTGGTTGCAACTATTTTTATCAAGCCATCCAGACATTTTAGTACGAAAATCGGAGAATCTTGCGAGCAAGAGCTAAAAGTATGAAACGTATTGAAATTCAAAATGACTTTGATGTTGCCATCGGTTTTCGAGAAAAACAAACGAAAATGTGGTGTCCTTTCATAAGCCAGTTTCAACAGTCTTAAGTACAATTAGAATTCTAATCTTCCACGAAAGTGACTTTCATCCAGAGAAAGGAATTGGGCGAACACCATATCGAGAAGGGGTTGCACTTTGTCTTTGGATTTTGAACCAGGGGGGTACAGCACATAACTGAGGACTTGGTAGCGCCTTCCAGACATGGTGAAACTGCAGACTGGATGATAATACAACGGATTAGAACATGAATCCATATTTTATGTAGATATCGAGCCTTGAAACAAATTTACGCTAAGAAATTGCTTCATTCGATCAATTGAAATGGGGCGAAAATTGGCGTCTATACAATGTGGATGTAGGTTTTGATGACGTACTGCTCCATTTTTAATTATTTGTTGATGAAGTTGTAGATTAAAAAGTGAATTTTTCTAATAATTTACTTAGTATTCTGTAGGTGTTGCAACAACTAATCAGAATCCCATTAAATATTGATTAAAATCACCAGTATGTATCCACTGGTACCCACCCAAAAAAATACTACTTAAATGAAACACCACAAATACTTAATTACCCGATGACTCGATGGTAATTCTCCGATAGGGTCGTCGACGTGATTAAGTTGACAAAATTCTACATTTAAGAGTTGGTACAAACAATTTCCAAAAAAAGATTAACCAAAAGGTTGCACAACCCAGTTACTTGCATGAAGGTATTACATACGCTACATATATTCTTAATATAAATACTAGAAAACGGAATTTCTTCTCATTACCTTTTTATAAAAAATCCATTGCCCAGAAATCATTCTCCTTTCAAATTGCATACCGATCGATTTAAAAAATATTTAAGTCATTAAACGCTTCAAAGTCAAACTTAACAACTTGTTACTTCATCGTGATGTTAGTGAGCTGTTATAAAAATTTTTTTTCTGTTTTACTATCGATAGGGTGAGTGGAAGAACAGTAAATTTCTCAAAGAAATTTATTTAGTTGTTTTTTTTATGTTGTCTATACTGGGTTGTTACTCTAATTGTCGCAAACTTCAATTTTTGTAAAAAAATGTATTACATATATTTGGGTTTAAATAAAGTGTATTATTATTAACAATTCTCAAAAGCGTATTCTGAACTACGAGAAGAAACTAATTATTAAGGTTAGGTTAAGCCCCTAGTTGCACATGAACTAAATAGCACCCACATGATTCACTGTTAGTAAAAATGAACAAACAAAATGCGCCACTTAGCTGCGTATCAGGTCCTTCGGCAAACCCAACACACGATGTCAAAGAGACTCCAATGATAGTAAGATTGAACGACAGAGCGGCTACCTTGACTGCCCCGATCTTCCGCAAGTGGATTGCGCCTTTCTACGGTTGATACTCGTTCCTTTCTTAACGATGCTCTCTATCTAGGTTGCCAACTGCCATGGTCAAAACGTGCGTGATACTGTTGTTGCTAAAAATTTCGATGCAATGTACAGTGCCTAGTTTCGAAAAAAAAACACACTAAAAGTAAATGGTGATAGTCAAACAATAAGTGGTTGTATTTCACTCGGCACAATTCGATTTAAAGGTAAAATTTAATAGCGGGTTCTAGTCAAGTTGTTGCCAGAGTTTAACTTCCATTTCCATTACAATTATTAGTATCGATGTTATAATTTAGGTTTAGTTCTCTTTATTTCTGTCTATCTGTTTTGTGAATGTATATATTTACAAGTGAACTGCTTCGTTGTAATTGGGAACTTCCTGCAATGAAGCATGGAAATAAATAAATAAATAATAGTATTTTAAATTATTAGCCAGGTGAGTTTTTACTGGCGATAGGAGAAGTTGACTTGCGAGCCGTCAGACGAGCCTGTCATCTCCTAGAGCCAGTAAAAACTATTACCTGGCGTATAATGTACAATATTTTATTTGTTACTCATTTGTAAACTAGTAAACGTAAATAATTAGTTCTTAAATTGATCTCGAAGAAATGTCTAAAATATCATGTTATCCATGTAACAGAGAGTTCGCTTTAATTCTGGCCCATGAAATTACTACATTACTAACTTGTAAAATTTTTACAGGTCAGCTGTCAGTTTTACCAGTTACTCGTTTGCGTTTTGTCTTGTTAATCAACGTTTACAACTGAGTAACAAATAAAAAAATTAACCTTAGGCTTCCTTTCCCAATAAGGCTACACAAAAACCCAACGTCCCAACGATTAATTTCTATGCGGCAAGACACCATAAGACTCAACCGAAAATCCTCTAAAAAAACCCACATGTTATATAGAAACAATCAAACACAAATTCGTAATAATCCTTTCCTCAGTTCCCCCTCTTCAGTTCCGCTACACAGATTTAAAGTTTCCCGCCAAAATTTAGAATGGCAAAAAAACGTATCAATTTAATTTCCAAGTAGGGACCTGTTGTTTTTTATCTTCATTTACTTTCTTTATTAAGTAATTAACAATAGGTGGATTTGATTAGATAGCAATCGGATTTTTTCGGATGTCGTTTTCCTTTCGAGTGTTTTAGTTACTCTGATTTACGACATACCGCACACTCACGTACACACCGTGTGGAGGGATAGCCTTCACGGAAATAAATTACCACTACGGTAAAAATAAATGGGTGTTAAACTGAATGAGATAACGAGTAACGAAAGGAGGAAAACGACGAGAATGAGAAGAGGCGAGTGTGCACTCTCCTGTGAACGCGGGGCGATGGGCGTCACTGTGGAAAAGGGGGAGGCGTCTAGAAAAAGACGGTTGCAACAGGGAAGTCGCAATCGAGGGGGGCGAGTCGCTGTCTTGGTTGGTGACTTATGCGGCAGATCCTATTACATAGGAGCCGACATACCCCTTTATGATACTCGCGCGGTGTAGCGCGTCAGTGCAGTCATTAAAACTAATATTATGACTCATAATTTATGAGCATCATCAAAGAGTGGGTCGTTAACCATGG